ACTTAATTAATATATGTTTACTTCGTATCTTTAACTCACCTTCACATAGTCAGTTCATTACTACTCAAATTCCATGGTAATCTCTATTTTCTCTTTTCTTTGCCTGTTCATAGATGCTGTAGTGTTTTACATAGAATTATCCTTTTGTATATTATAATTCTTTAATAAGCATATTTGTTTTTCTCATTGTTGGATGTCTAGGGAAGTTCGGTAGGATAGACGGTCCAAGTTGCCACACTTCATGTCCTCAGGACAAGTTTGGAGATACATCAAGATGAGGGATAAAGATATAAACAAAGTGGTTGGGGGTCTTCAAAAGAAAGCAAAGAGGAATAATACGATACTTAAGTTCATCATGACGATCAAGGTGAAGATAACATATGGATATATCTACGCCACTGGAATCGATTCTGATCCCTGTTCATCGTTTTCTGTTATTACGTGAACTCTAATCGGGAAGTCTTCATAGACTGATATCATGTTTTAGTCTGGGCGTGTGTAACCCTCTTCCAGCCTTAACCAACTAACATTGTGCGATGGGGTAGACGGTGACGAGGTTTGCGTAACACAAGTCCCAGTCACCTGAGTTGATTAAGGTTCACAATCCTACCGACTGATCTACTTTTTCTGCCTAAAAATCTGCACCTGACTTCCAAGTTACTGATGTAGTGACACACCCTATACTACGAGGGCAACAGTCATCAAACACCTGGGTTCTTCTTATGTCCTTTGTGTTCAATGGTCATGTTCTAAAGTCATGTAGAAGAACAGAGTGAGCTGCAGTGCAGTACACTTGTTTCTTAATGGGCGGTTGGATGTTCGGGTGGTGCAATAAATGGCGTAGGTCGGAGCAAGTCAAGCGAGTCTTTTGTATCCATGCAGGTATTTCGTTGGTCACTAGCCCACTAAGGCTGATTTGACTCTTCAGGTAAGTGAAGCAATCAAAGCATTCAGTCGCTTCGCTCCTTATCGTTAAAGAAGGCATTGAGGGAAGACCAGCCCTTGAGAAACAGATTGCTCCTGCGCGATGGAAAACCAATCCCATAGATTCTCAAATTGCCACTAATGGTATCCAGAAGACTTTGCATCCTTTTAGTGTCTTCACCTTACATGAATGTGTCAGCTGCGTACTGTATATCTGTTTAGGATTATCTTGTGACAAGATCAGTCGTTGTAAAGTCAGGAAATCCTATTCAACTTTTTCTTCATGCCTGTTGACAATATTCAGTAGGGCTTGTGGATCTAGGCATCAGAATTCCCACCAGTGCATCGTGAGTTCGAGCCTCTATCCACTGAGGTGCTGGTTACCAGATGGTATTACCAACCTGCGCACACTAGTGTCTTACATTGCCTACTGGATTGGTATGCACATAATTACTGAGAGAGTTTTATTTATTGTTGATAGTCAGAAAGGTGTATGTGGATCTTCGAGAATACTAATTTTCCGTCTAAGATGCCAACTCACTTAACCCATAGCTGCTGGAGTTAGTGACATTACAAATGAGCTGTTGGATCGCGACTGACCTTTTGTTGGAGTAAATGGTATACACTAATTGGTCACTTTAAAGTAGTCAGTTTCACTTTTTTTTTAATTTCTAAGTATGTTGATAATAATCTCTTACTAAAGTACTACATAAGACTATTTCAGATAAACCGAGGTGACGAGTATCAAGACTCCCTGCGTAATATCTTCAGCCGCCTGATATTAATGAAAGTATACCTTAACGATGAGTTTCTTACCTTGTTAATCATATTGAAGAATAATTGTGTAACACTTAGGATTGTATAACATGTTGCTTTATTAGGTTTTTTTCATGATGCTTGATTATAGAGGATTTTTATTGCATGTTGGAATGAAAAAATGTTGTTGATATGCACTTACTTTTTCGAATTGATGGTACACTCACAAATCTAGATGCTCTGGATGTCATGTAAAATAGTAAACTCTATTTTGCACTAAATACATACACTTGGTATTATCGTTTTTGTAGTCTAAGACTGTGAAATTATTCATTATGATGTACTAATTTCATCCATAATTATGTTTTATATTTTATTATTATTTGTCCCTTGGGTTCCTAATGGAACATAGGGCTTCAGTAGCACGTCTCCAGTGAACTCTGTTCTCTGAAATTTTTTGAACCTGGCTCCACGACAGCCCAGTAGCTCTCATTTCTTCCTCACACGATCTCCTCCGTGTCACCCTCAGACACCCAACTAGTCGCTTCCTATCTGGGTTCCACTCGACGGCTTGGCCTGACGCGTGATGTCCCTAGTCGGCCTCCTCAGTGTATGCCCATATCCATTTCCTTCTGCATATTTGTTGAGCGATGGGTTCTTGGTTGCTTCCTTGCCAGCCACATTGAGTTTCTTGTCGCTGATTCTTTCTGGTCATTTGGTCTTCAGTAACGAGCTAGCGTAGGCAGTTGTTGATGAATGTCTGTAGTTTGTTGGAAATGCTTTTCGTGATGCGCCAAGTCTCTGAACCATACAGAAGCATTGACTTGACGTTGGTGTTGAAAATTCGCATCTTGTTCCACATGCTGAGTGCAGTGTTTTTTATGATGACGTTGAAATGTACGTTTGTCTTTCTCTCCTTACATCAGACTTGCTATAGTTTCTATAGTCTGTCTGTAGTATATTCGTATATGTCCCCCCCCCCTCAGTGGCAGCTGTTCTTATTTCCATGAATTAACTTTTTTTATTGTTCCTTTGCTATACAGTCGACAAATTCATTCTTCATCTAACCAGATAAAGGCATAAACATGTAAACAACTGTTTATTATCTCGTTTTGGTTCTCTTTCGAGTAATAATAATAATAATAATAATAATAATAATAATAATAGCCATAAACACAGTTTATAGCTGTCGTAAATGTGAATCATTATACCCTTGTTTTATCTCTTATTATTTGGGTGGGGAAAAGTCTTAGTCTGGTATATTTGGCAGTTTGAAAGTCGTATCTTAGCATCTTTGAGAGAATAAATTATTATATTTGATGGTTTAACATATCTATTGGCATTTATTGGCAATACGTGGAAAATGTTTTTTTGTCTTATTGATGCCTGAGATTTGTTTTATCAATCCCAATATGATTTTTTATGCTATACAGTGATATTGTTTTCAGCTTTATTTTTCCCATTGAATATCATCCATTGCTTGATATTTTAGAGTAATGATCTATTCATATATGTGCTATAATTGTGATAGAACTGCACGATCTTTATCGTCCTTGAAACATCTCCGCACTTGAATTGCTCTTACTCTTGGCAGTTTATAGTTCGGATTAAGTTTCTTAACTATAGTAGTTTTATGCCATTGAGTTTGTAAATAAATGTACTTGTTATCTCCTTTTCATTCAACGTCACCACGCTAGCAACTGTTGAAATAACCAATTAGGCTTCGATGTTTTGGTTGGCAGAGTAGTTTATCATAAAATAAAGAAATGTAACTGGTTATCTCAACAATTGCTAGGGTGGCCTTTAAAGTCACTACGGTTCCTCTGTTTTGTCTGGGAGGGCGGCTTTTCATAAATTGGTTCGCCTTTAAAGTTATTCCTGATATCTGCGAATGAGGTGACTTAAAAGGTGATCCTGACAACTACGTTTCTTCATCTCGACTTGAAAGATAATTTTCTTCATTAAACACAGAGCTCTGATTGGTTACTTCAATAGTTGTTGAGGCGGCTTTTAAAATCACTCTCATGCCTATAAGTCACCAAAATATACGGAGTACAAGATAAAGGATTAACAAACCTTTGGTTAGCATTTACTTATTTAGGTTTGTTACCAATGCGTTTATACGACTGAATCGCATGCCCCCACTACACACAGTAAATTACTAACAGATAAAATTCCCTTTTAATTTACGAAATTAAGGATATAGTTTATGTTTAAATAATGACTATCGTTTAACAATGAACCGTGAAACGACAATTGAGACGTCGGAATAAACCTTGTAAGAATGGTTACAAAAAAATGTTAAATGACTTCTGAGTAGATTATCTTAAAAAGTAAATATAGTAACAGATGCTATAGATCTTAGTTTCCCTTTATTGTTTGTCTCGACCAAGGTGTTCGACGACTGTTAGCATATGGACATATGAATTTTTAATAGGAACTTGTCAGCTGGATGCACCTGTCGGCATAAATATCAAAACTGGAGTTACTGGTAATATCGAAGCTTCCACAAAGTTGACCATATATCCAACACTAGCCGATAGACTCGGTTTGGATCAGTCAACAATGAGATATCACCAAGCTGTAACACCAAAATACTCTTGAAAAATAACACGTGTCTATCGTAACTTAGTGGTCCAGTAAATGATACTGTAGTGGTGGTGGAGGTGATGTGCGTTGGGTTGGACAGTTTTCTTGTATTGTGCTTTAGGGAATATTTACAGTTATTATCGAAATGCACTGACCAGCCGTTAGTACATTCATGCAGTAGGCAGTCAGCCACATCTATGATACTACTGCTTGACTGTTCAGACCTCTGTTGGTGAAGCGGATTTTGAACCCGTTACCCATTGGTTAGAAGTCAATAACCTACACTGTTGGACCACAGCACTTGCAGTTAATATCTTTTGGCATTCATGTTTTCAAAGAGTCATATCTACAACTTAAACATCTTCTGCTGCAAGTCTACAAAGTATCTGTAATCCTTTATCTTTGGTGGTGAAAAATCAGTTTCATGGAATGCTCTTTACTACTAAATGTATTAACCATAAATCTGTAGTGTTATGATCAGATTTAAGTCTTTTGTAATCACGGACACACATTTTTCACTTTCCCTATAAAAATTTTAAACTACTTTTTATTCTTCAGTTTTCATCTTGATATGGTGTAGGCGAAATTCACTGTTTCTGAATGTGTATTTGCATGTTTCACATATGATTTTGTATATTGAGAATTGTATATTGTATATTGAGAGAATATAATTTACTTTTATGTGATTTTTGTTTTAATCTTTTCAATTTTATTGTTATTTCTTATTTCAGAACGAGATAATAGACCAACTGAGCAAGTTATACGTGAATCTTTACAAATGAGATTAGAAGAAGCTTATCCTAATGTCTTGTGTATGGAAGATCTTGTTCGGTAAGTTTCTTTTCCCTCTTGCTATAAATGTTCTCGCTATGCTATTCGATGATGTGGATATACGATATTGTGAAGTTGCGACGACATTTTGATGCAATCCGTTGAATCTCAACTGGCCAGTAGTACTACCTTTTATTACCTTGAAAGATAAGGGTATTTTCAAGGTATCAAAGTTGGCGTCACTAGCCAGTGAGTTACATCTACTTGTGCTGTTCGTTCGTGCTAAGTCATTGGGTCACTTGTTCAAACATGTGTTTATTCTGATGATTTCTGTCATTAGGATTCAAGCAATGTGGCACATAGAGCAATACACTAATCAACACGTGATTTGAAAAGCTATCTGACAATGATGTATAAGGTACTGAATGCTCAGACTCAACCGGTGTAATATGCTAGCTTTGAAATTTGACCTTAGAGTAAATATTGCCAGGTTACTATCTTTTTTCGCCTATTTCCGGCTGTTCCACAGAGTAGTACCTTAAGGTCTCATAGTAATTGTAGCTCATAACTTTATCTATTAAAACTGTACAAATATCTGAGTTGAACCAGTCAATAGATAGAAGATTTTTTGGCATGCTTATTGATAGATGTCAACTTGCACAGCAAGCTACTTTCTTGTACCATGTATCTGTGAAACACGGCCATTGCAGGGAGAAGACATTAAAAGGAACCAGATATTTGGCGACCGTTGCTTTCGTAGTATAGACTATGTCACCAAATCAGTAACGTGGAAGTCAGGGGCTGAGTTTTAGGATAGTCAGTTACTGAGGTTATGAATCTTCATCGACTCAGGTAGTTGGGACATGTGTTACGCATGTGTGATCATCGTTTCTCTCGTCACACAATTTTAGCTGAAGTCGGTTCACATTCAAAAAAATGGTTAGAGGTAGCAAGACTAAAACATGACATCACTGCATGAAATCTTTGGCAGTTAGTTTGAGTCATATAAGGGAACATAGATTTCTTGTTTGCGATCCATATAACAACAGAAACCAGTGGTTGGAAAGTGTAGGTGACATGGGCCAGGTGCATTCGCACTCCGTTTTTTTCTAATTGTCTATACTTATCCAAAAATATTTCCTCAAAATAGTTTTAGTCATAGAACCACGAAAAGCGTTAGAGCAATTAACAGCTGTTTCGTCTTACCTCAAGATTCTTCAGCAGTGCTCACCTATGAATTCATGAGGTATCATACCTAGTGAAGTCAAGTGTCATGGCGTGCATATTGGTGCTTGACTAACGAGTTGAAATTTGGTGGCTCACATTTTCCTACTTTGCGAATTCGTGACTTACTGTGACCATTATCTAATGTGATTAATGAGTAACTTGATCTCACACTCGACTTGGCTGTTCGCATATATCATGGTTTCTTATTTCAACTTTGAAAGATTTATCTCGAAGCCGACTCTCTGCTTTCAGCTGCTTCCAATTTAATCAATGTTGGTTTGCCATACTTTGGGAGTACTAGACAAGACAGGTAAGTCTATTTATGAGACTGTGAACCTTAGTCGACCAAGATAACTTGAAAATGCGCTGCGCAAGTCGAGCCACCACCTATCCCGAAATGCCATGCTGGTGGTAGAAGTTGGATTAGGTTGGAATACGGCTCAAAGTGGCCAGACCAAAACGTGGCATCAGTCCATGAAGTCTCTTACTGTTGGTCTGAGTTGTATGAGGAGATGTAGACTGCCTAACTGGGGTCCCCAAGACGATACAAATCAGGGGTTCAGGACTCTTGGTGACATGGATGAAAATCGACCACAATGGTACAGATGTATTCACTCTTCAATATCTTCTAAAGTTTGAATATTTGCACTAACCTTTATCTTCAAATTGTTTGTTCTCTACGTTGATTGTGTCAGTTAGTGTCACGCTTTGTTATACCAATTTACTGAGTTCTTTTAGTATCAGATCATATCATGCAGTTATACCTTAATCTTTCCTGGATGACATGTGACATAATTATCGTCAATGAATTTTTTACTGGAATCGTAACGCAGTAGGTGAAACTGTCTCAAATAAACTCATCTAATGTAAAGCTTTCCTCTACCAGAATGTTCGATGCTTACTTCTACTTAATAGCTGTTAGTCATTGGCTTAGGCACTCAACGTTCAAGTAAAAAGTGGGTTGAGTACAACAAATCTTTTTCGAATCCCATGAAGGAAAGTTAAAACAAGTTGTTATCGTTTCTTGTATGCCGATAGATCTAATCAGTGCGTTTTTTGTTTATTTACTAACACTTGAAGTGCAAAAATGTGTTGTACAATTTCATTATTCTTTGTACAAACTTGCATATACATAGCAAAAGGAATCAACACGTTTTATTTCAATTTGCTTTACTTTGTTTTGAATCGTCTTGGTGCTTTTCTTTCCTAATATATTTTCGATCGAGAATTTATAGGAGCTTCGTCATATATGATTGATAATTTAACTGAATGAAAAAAATTGTCATGTAATACAAACTATATATGACTCAGATTTTTTGTCCAGTGCATGATGAAGTCGCGTGAGAGATACACACAGTAGTTATCAGTGATTAGTTCAAGATATATAATCAGTTTTTGAAAAAGACTGATTGAGTGAAGAAATATATTCCTTTTCAATAAGGTCTTCATCTTGGGCTCTACACTAATATATGTGGGTTTACAATGTAGTCAAATTACCAATCATATGGTGGTGTTTCGGAAATAATGATGTAAATAATCAATAGAGTTACTAAAATAGGAAATATGAATATTGATAGAAACAAGGGGAAGGTGAAGGGGAAGAGGTGTACAAAGTAAACCTAGAAGTTACATCATGTTGACAGCCACGGTAATGAAAGTGGTCGAACAAACTTCTTTTGGATACACAGGTTAGGTTTGTAAAGGTGGATTACAATCGCCTCTGCTATATGAAGTAAACGCGAGTGCGTAATCCATGAGGTAAATTAATTGGAATCTGATGGATGATTTTGAAGGCTTTTCCAGTAACCACTTGATGTCGTGTATCAACTAAGTGTGCAAGTATAGAGCTCTTTATAGCTCTAATTTGTCCCTTGTTCAACCATGATAGGTGGTGCTCAGAAATTCGACGATGGAACTGTCATGAATTAAAGGATGACTAGTCTTCCCAATTTTTCGAATTACTTATTTTCATTCGAGTTTATAGGCTTTCTTTTAACGTTCTTATTAATCAAATTGTATAATTATGAACATGTATTGAGTAATCGAGTTTCTGATTCCTGGTCTTAGGTGTTTTATGTAGGGTTCTAAGATGGTGTCTGTGATGAAACCTCTATTTTTTCTGTGGTTAATGTGATGTCCAACCGTGTACTGAAAGTTGAGGGGATAACACAGCAATTTTCTTTGTTCCACTCAATGTCTATAAACTACTCTTGTTCAAGTAGGGAATATGAAAAGACTCATGGTGTTTGATTGTCTCAAAAGCATTGACTGTGTGGCATGGAACGACTAAGAAAGCAACATAGAGGTTAGGTATAGGGTATTTAGTTGAAGGATTCACAAACCTTTGTTGACTAAAGTGACTGCGATGTGTTATGCATGCCTAATCGTGTACCTTGACTGTCAATGTTGACTGAAGTAGGTTAAAAAAAAACAAAAACAAGAGGTAGCTGGACTTCGAATTCATAAAGTTTCTGTTCTGGTCTGAGTCATATAAGAAGGTGTAGTCTTCGAGGTTATATGTAGTCTGTGAGATAGCTGAAAACGATTTTAGAGGATTCCAGGTGGTATGACTCAGAATGGATCTCATTAGTACAAATATTATTCGTACATAATCTTCATTTTCACCATCATCTCGAATTTCGTTATCTGCTTTATCTCCTCTTCTTTCGTTCTCATGGCTTCCTGCTGAGTTTGGTTATACTATTTCACTTCTGTTGTCTTTTGTTTTCCTGCTTGTTGTCTTGATGCGGTATTAATCCGTTATCCGGTTATATCACATCACATGGTCGGTGAAAACTGTGTTATTGATTAACCTGTACTGAAGAGAAAGATTTTGTAATTTTTCTGAGTAAAATATTAATTTATTATCATGTAATCAACTATCTTTATTCATTTACATTTGAGTCAAAACATAATTTTTGGTATAATAATGTTTTGTAGGTTTGGTAGTGGTTGTTTTGGTTATGGTTTGAGATCACATAAATTTAATCCGTCTATTATTTGATTGTTTAGTTTTTTTTGTAAATAATACAAATTCCCTCTTATCGTAAAATTCATCACTAGACTGATTAGTCACCAGTTTCACCTTTCACCCCTTTATCAACAAAAGACAAGACTGGTACTGACTATTCTTACGATGATTGACAATCTCTGATATATGAATAGTGTATATGTGTTAAGTGGTAGCTGGCAACTGACATTAACTTGTTTTACTACCAGAAAACAAAATTGCTTGTTTTATTCCTAGACGGTAGTATATACCAGGGATGAGAACTAGGTCTTATAACTGAATTACATAAGAATACTCGGAAATAACTTCTGAGTGAAGTTTTTTTTTTAGTGAAATCTATCAGTAAAACAAAATATATATTCATCTGAGTTTCATATCATCTTTTCTTTGAGGTTCTTATGGAAGCGGTATTGCATAAATGAATGAAACTAATCGTAATCATTCAATGTCTCAGGGTTGATACTCTGAGAAATGAAGCAACCTAACTCTAGTTATTTTCTGAATGACCTTAGTAGAATGTAGTTCAATACAATTTTTATTATCTCGAATTGAAGACGTATATTTGTAAAAGGTCACTGTAGGTTTATGTCAGGAATCTCTATGATCTTGATGAACTAAGAAGAATTAATACTTTTAAAGTAACAAGAAATAGTCAGAATATTAGTGGGTTATAAGAAGCGTTACCTATGTGGAAGAAAAAAGGATAAAGAGATGACCATTTGAATGATTTAACCCCACTTTAAGTAAAATTCAGCATACTAAGAAATTTAGTCACTTAACAAAAAGCCGTTATAATAGTTTTCATCAAATGAATCATGTCTGT